GGTTTTCATTCTCTTACACTCTTCAGCCCCTACTGCCTTGCATAGTCACTTCCAAGTCTAACTTCTTGCAAAACCTGCTCATCTCTTTGCCCAAATAGTCTCAATCAAGGTGGTCTTCCCCATTCCCAGTCAGATCCTCTCTCCTCCTGCAGTATTATTTGGCTGCTTGTCCCAGTCTACTCTTTCCTTTACCTAGTCTGTTCTCTGCATTTATCTCGGATTACTTCCTTCTCTGTGTTAGTAGAAAGAAGGAGAACTCCTCCCCTTGTACTGAGAGATAGGAAAGCAACGCTCCCTTCTCTCAGTTCCGTTGCTCGGCCCATCCAAGCATCCGGAAAAAGCCATTTCTGGTAAAGCAATTTCAGTCACCCATACTATAGGTTGTAGCATTCTTCACCGCTCAGGTGCAACATTGTCAGCACTAGGAGGTGAAAGGGATTCATGCAGTAGATTCTACACGTATGGAAATTCATTACTTCTGCTGCTGTGCTCTAGCAATTTTTGTCAAGCACACATGAACTCCGGCATCAGAAGAATTTATACATCTAGGTGAGTCTTCGTGGCCGTTGCTGTAACAAAAATCCTCTTTCCACTCTTTACACCGAGTACCACAAACAGGTTCGAACAAAGCTCACTGCTAATTTATTTATATTGGCATGGGAAAGGAAGGAGGGTCTGCACCTCAGACCATACAGACAGGAGAACTTGCCTGACTCAATTTCACAAGTTGATGCCCAAAGTATCCATCACAGGTGAAGTGTCAGAATGATGAACAATAGGATTGTAAATAAGACTCTAAAAAGAGCTGCTATTGCAACTAGCAATTTAGACATGCATCAGTTGTTTGGAAGGAGGTAAGTATATTTTAATTGTCCAATAAAAAAATTACGGTTAAGGACAAAGACTGCACTGTTCCCAACTACGGAAGCCACAGAACTCAGTATGAACTTCATACTGATTTGAAGTATTGAAACGTTTGCCTTACTCTACCCAGTTAATTATAGTGTATGTAATTTTTTTTATTTGAATTTGGAGAAAACATACAGAAAAGTATTCTCTGAAGAGTGGGTAAAATGCCTAGGAGACATTTTGTGGAACTCAAATTATTTTCTGTCTATCTTGAGAGAGGCACTAACACGTTCATTTTCTACTTTTTAGATGAAAGCTTTCATGCTTGTTCCCAAAACATGATCTAACTTAAGATCCGTGTGACATATTCAGTTTAAGAGTTACCGCTTTTTTGGTGTGCTAAGATAATTTGCCAGAAAAACTAAAAATATCTACAGAAATGAAACAAACCTAGGAGTTTATTGCATTTGTAGTTCAAAAATATTTTAGGATCTTGGTAAGACCCCTTCTTACAAGCCTTCTTAATAACTTCAAATTAATCTTAAATAAAATATCTTAACTGCTCTGCAAAACAGCTCAAATTGTACTGTTTCAAAATATTCAGCACAGACTAACTTGTTCATTTTAATGAATCATCCTAATATATTTCCTTGATTAATGCAATTAGCAGGTTTTTCATTATTTGTGGCATTTTCTTTACCCAGTATATCAGCTGTTGCTTTACAGAGGAAAAAAAAAAAATATCCCCAAACAAGGTAATGCTGCCACAGAATAATTCCCTCTCCCTCACCTCCCAATGTCCATACTGCAGGAGAACCATGACTACTAAGAAAAGGGACCTATATTCCATAATTTTGCTTTTATTATCAAGTCTAAAACCAGCTTTACAATGTATTTTTATATCGCGATAGGAGGTGGTGTTACAACCAACAGCTCTCATGACCGACCCTTGACCTTGGTTATGCATTATGCTAAGATCACCACACTCCACAGTGGAGACACCTACAAATGATGGACAATGAACATGGGAAACAAGCACAACATTGCACAAGTGTGCTGCAGCTGTGGGTAGCAGTCAAAAGGGACAAACTGGGCCACAGTGACAGCCCATACGGAGCCCAACAGGCTTTGGAGAAGGTCCTGCAAAATCCCTTCCTGACTGGGAACTATTTCAGGTACCAAATCGGTCTTGCCCCTGTAATTGAACCAGGCTCACCCCAAACCAAAGATACAGGCAGATCCATCTTCCCAGCAAGTCATACAGCAAAGATGACCCACTGCAGGCTTGCAAAGGGGACAGATTATCATGCCTTAGCTTTGCTGCTATTTGTACACAGTACAGTACAACTGCTACATGCCTAATTCAGGCAGTTAGTTAATACTGCTCCATCTTGGAACAATACTGGTACCCACACGAGCTAGAATATTTGCTGCTATCATATCACCCCAATACCATTGAGAAAATTTAGAGGTGAATTTCTGTATAATACAAGAAAACACTACCAACAAAAAAAAAAGTGAATTAAATCTGGACTTCTATTCAACTAAGCTGAAAGGATTTGTTTTGTGCTTTTTTTTTTTTTAATCTTATGAAACCTCTGAAATATACAGAATATGTAAGTTCTGCATGGTCAAACAAAGTACTGAATGTACTAATATAAAAAAAAGGAGCATTAAGTTTCATTTAAGTCTTCAATATATGGCTTTATATTCCATTTATTTCTGCAATGGATGTAACATATGGAAAATATTTTGTCCAATAGAAACTTTAGGTTCTCCTTCATAACTAACTGGGAAATAATGAATAGTTAATTTATGAATTACTTAGCTACATTCATCAGGATGCTCTGAAGCAAGCAATTATTTACACACAAAATCTCTGACATAATAGTATCCAGTAGCCTAATTCACAGCTACAGAAAAATAAATAATTCTTCCTTCTTTCATCATTCCTATACAGAGGTTACACAATACTAAGGTATATCATTCATGACATTTTAGGCCTAGCGCAAAATCAACTGCAGAATCAAAAATAAGCATTTCCCACGCACTGATCATGTTTGCCTCTCAGTATTACTAATATGAAGTATTCAAAAATTCTGTCAGGTCAGTACAAATTTTAAGATTAAAAAAAATCCTCAATTTTGGATGCTTCTACTTTTGAGAACGGAGGTTCTAAAGAAAAATTGTCTTACAGTAGTTTTTGTCAGACGTTAACATTGGTTTTAGTGTCACTCAATCTGTGGTCATTTAAAATTTCAAAAACATGCTTCACGTAGCAGCCTGATACCCAGGTGCTCTTTTGGGTTTGCCTCCATACTTTCCAGCAAACTTACGGTCGCATTCTATCAAGAACACTGGAAACCAAAGCTTTTCTTTTTTTTTTTTTTTTTTTGTTTTATACCTAGCACAATATAGCTATTTACCCCAGTAATGTGACAGGCAGACATTTTGCTAGGAAGTTTTCATACCATTACATATAATTTATTTTTCAGATAATTTTAAAAATATTCCTTTCAAATGACACTATTTAACTGATGCGCCCTCATACACTTAAACTCATACCATCCAAATAGTCTATCAAATCATTTCCTCCACAAGCAGCATGAAGACTGAGTGCATTGTGACACCTCATACATATTTAATAACAGTCTGATAGACTGTCATTAATTTCAAACAGCAATCTAAGTTTGCTACATTAAACATGATCCCTGTGTTAAGAGGACAATCACAAACTGCCTCCAAGATCGAGCCTTTAAGAAATGCCCACCGACTTGGACAAGGTGTAATGAGGCCAACTGCACTGAAGGAGCTTTTATTCACACATTGGATTAAAACAAAAAAAAGAGGGGAAAAAAAGCTTCAATGGGTCATAAACCCAGACATGCCATAAGGCGATCTGTCACAGAGCACTCATATTAATAACTGTTGTGTCAAAACTGAACATTCAAAAGAAAAGACAAACCTCCCTTTATGTTTTATGAAATGTAAGCCCACAGAATTAATAATTCATGAGCTGAAGACAAATATCAAATTTGGATATAAATATTAACAGCACACTGTCAACCTGTTTAGAACCAAATTTTGACCGTCCTACCTTTCAATTATCAATTTAGAAGGGAATATTCTTCAAAAGCTCAAAAAAAAAAAGGCAGTATAAAAGTCCTTAATTAAGAAATTAACATGCTCTATTCACATAGGTCCTAAATAAAACAGCAAAATGCTGTTCTGGGTCTGCTGAGAGAATACTAACAGGCTAGCATTCTTTATTCCGAGTTAGGCTGTGCTGACAACAATAACACTGGTGCATACACAAGAAAGTACACCAAAGGGACAGGCTAAAACCAAGATCCAGTGGAATAACTGTAGGAGTACAGAATAAGTGGTTGTCAGATGATAAACCGAAAGGTAAAAATGTTGGTTAATAGTTAAGCAAACTCCAGAATATGAACTTTATACAACATCTCTTGGATGACATTCTCTGATTAGTTGAAGAATAAGAATTTTAAAAGGATGAAAGAAAGCACTTAACTAATAATGCACTAATATTAACAAGTTCACTACACATGACTTCAACCAAATCACCAAATGTATTTTCAAAAGATTTAATTTGATAGTCTCAAGACATAGCAGCGTTTGACTAAATCTAGAAAATGATGCAGCTATTTCTATTTTAATCATTTTGTTTGCTAAAGTGGTTAACAGTTGGAGCCCAAGATTATAGAAAAAACACTTCTTCTGCTTTATGACTCCAGCCTTCTCTGCTTTCAGTGTCAAAAGAGGGAGCAGAATATCTGAACACAAAATGCAGTTGTGCCAAGATGAGGAAAGTGGTCAACACGAATTGTTTTAAATGGTGGTAACAGGGCTTTTCTTTACAGCTTCTTATGCTTCTCCTAATGCTAATACAATTAAAGTCTAGTTACGTTCCCACCTGCAATTACACTCTGGGCAGTAACTTTAAAAAAATATATTTACATATGCATCAACATTGGGCATACCAAAAAAAAAAAAAAATCTGTGTGTAAGCACTCCACTGTCCTCCACAAGATCTGCCATGTTAATTTCACTCAACACAGTTAGGAGTAAGAATGAAAAGCCAAACAAACAAGTTGTTAAAAGCTTTTAATACTAAAAATAGTAATTCTTACCTTTATCATTCTAGAGAGATCTCCAGCATCAGCCAATTCCAACACTATGTTCAGTTCATTGTCTTCAATGAATGAGGCATAATATTTAATTACATTTGGATGATTCAGTTGCTAATAAGGCAAAATAGTAAAGCATGTTTTAACACAGAGCACATCTTCATCTTTTATGACCGACAAATGAAACATTCTTGTTTAGACAAACAAAAGAACCCCCTAAAAATCTATCACAGTAGATATAAATATAATACGAAAAGTATGCACTTAGAAGCATTTATAAATAAGCATGTTAAGATTGCAAAAACATGAGGCCATTTTAGGATCAACAGGATGATTGGAAGTTGCAGTTTTAAAGAATTTGGCTTCAATGACTCTATGTGATGGCACACTTAACTTCTGTCATCGTACAACACGGTTTTTGTTTCCTGAAACAGTACAGTCAGATTTTTTTAGATCAGTATTTTACTTTACGCAGTACATGCTTAGTTAATTTACCATACTGAATTTTTAGCAAAAGAACTTCTACTTGAGAAGTTACCCATGTTTCAATACTTTTCAAAGTTAAATTTTAAAGGAATTAAGAATTACTAAATACCTTAAGTGAAGCTTTTAAAACCTCTACAGAGACAATAGGGGACACTTCAAGTGTGTTTATGAGGAAAAAAAAAACACATTTTGATGAAGGCTGCACATTTTTCAAACAATTCTTTTTACCTTAAGAAGGTCTATTTCTTTGATGCAGTCAGCACGGGCTTTGGCATCCATTAAATCAAATATCTATGCACAAGAGAGAAGATTTTTATTAAGTGATAAAATAATAGCAAACTGAGTAATCACTATTATCATTTCACAGCATCTATAAAGCACCTTGAGTTACGCATTTCGTGGCTACACATAATGTTGCAATAAGAAATATTCCTAATATGCTGAGTACAGCTGGTAACACTATAATCCTTAAAGTACTGACTCACTGTATCAACTCTTTTAGTCCCTTCACAGGGAAAAAGTACATCATAAGTACAAGCTTTCCAAGGATTTAATTGCCATCTCTGTGTATCTGTTCATATATATACAGCAATACTTGAACATCTTTCCTTCAAGTTAGTTCCAACCCAAATACTTCAGCTTCTTCTCCTCTTCCTGCTACGCTATTATCACAAACTGATTAGTTTTAATACTGAGCATACCCTTCTTTCCTAGTATCTTGCTGCTGTCTCCCTTAAGTAATAACTACATTTTTGTTCGCTCTCAGAATGAAAACTTAACATTGCTCAGTGAAGAGAAAAATGGAAAAGAGAACTGGAGATGGCAAAGAAGTGATTTGGGTTCTGCAACCTGTTTACTCAAGCCCATATTTCTAACTTGTCACCTTGACTCTTACAGCTTTTTACGCTTGGACATCTCTGCTCTTTTTTTTTCCCCCCTCACCTCCCATCTGCTCAAAAATAACACTGCAACGTATCTCATCTTTGCCTCCTCCAAAGTTAAGCCCAGTAATCTTTTTTCCCAGTTAAGAGTCCTTGTCCGCCCCTCAAATACCTCAAATAAATCAGCAAGTCCGCACGTGACCTGTTATACCCAGCCGAGACTTCACTGGACATGACACTCTTCGCAGTCTGTGAGTCACTCCTTAAACCAACTGAAGGCAGGAGTCTAGTTTTTGTTTGCAGCACGCAGCCCTTGCTGAGGATACCCTGCTGCCTAGCCCCTACTTCAGTTCAGAAATCCAATCTCCTGGCTTCAAGTCTGGGCATAAGAAAAATCAGGCTGGAGCAGATGTAAGAATCACTTCACAAAAAAGATAACTATAAGTTAACTACTGAAAAGTCAAACTTATAGGAGAGGAAGATAACAACAAAAAAAAAAAAAGAAGAGGAAGGAAAGAAGAAAATAGAACTACTTTCCAAGAAATAAACCATCTCACAACTACTTGTAGAGTTAAGCAAGGATGATGGGAAATAAGCAGATTGAACTAGAAGTAACTATTCAAGGAGGAGATGGGGGGAACATAGCAGAAACACAGCATGGTAAGTCACAAGAAAAGGAATACTAACACTAAGAAAGCAATCAATCTCAGATGTAACAGAAGAAAATAGTACTCTATATGAAGTTTTAGGTATAAGTATTAGAAGGTAAATAATACTGATGGAGAAGACAGAAAAGAAAGTTTATGAATTAAGGTTGGGAACATACCCAGTGGAAGAGAAGAAAGAGCCTGCATCTGTTACAAATCTCAAATCTGAATTACAAAAGCACTGCTCTTTAATCATGTTGACAACAGACTGAAGTCCTAATATGTGGTACTGTCATGAAGGACTGCAATGACTTTGGTAGGAAATTTCTAAATATTAGAGGTAGCATATAAAGTGAGAAAGTGCTGGGAAGGTGTGAGAACATTGTTGTCCTTACCTGTCAACTAAAAGATCAGCCAACAGAAAATTTTACTTGCCCTCTCCCCAAAAGAATCAGTGAAAGCCTGTGGTGGGAAGTAAGGAAAAGAAGGGGCAGCTATAGGGACATGCCCTGAAGGAGATTTAAAATCACACGTATCACCAAATTTATCACAGCCAAAGTCAGTCACAATTCCATTTAGTTTTCTGAATACACGCTGTTTAGGAGACAGGAGTAGCATTAGGACTATCGATAGTCATTCCAAGTAACACAGAACAATACATGAAATACTGCCCTTACCATAAATTGTCACAGTAGATCTTTGGAACAACTTACTAGGGAGATCAACAGCCAGGCACAAAGTAACACAGTCAGCCTGACATTCACTTTGCTTTTCCTTGCTACCTATCTCAGAGTCCACGCGAAAGTAACCAACCCATTCACATTTTTGCTAAGTTTCCATACAACGATCAAATAAGAACATTCCTTATGAGTTACAGAGAGATTCAGAAGCAGACATACAGAACTCCTAACAATTGAGAACCTGAATCAAAGCTGCAAACAGAATTTTTAGACCGAAAATTGTACCTGACTAGAATTACCGGCTCATTAGATTTGGAGAAGTTATACAAGGCACAATTTCAAGATTTAAAATCAAAACCAGGGGGTTGTGTGATAAAAACAGAGTAGTTTACACCTGTTAATGACTGTGTTAACTCCATTTCAACTCCCGACTAAGTCACTTATCAGGTATTTCTGATACTTTTCCTCACTTTCTTGAAGTACAGACAGACAAATTTCGTAAGCCCTTCCAATGACGCTGCAGGACACTAAGTAACTACAAATTTTGGTTCTCTACTGAGGTTACACTGGAAATACACCCTTATCTTTTTGTTCTTTAACACGAAATAACTTGACCCGAGCCAAACCCTTGCAGTTGGTTAAGCAATTCTACATATTTAACAACATACTAAACCCTATAACCAACATGGCAGATATTTGCCTTTGCAACACTGTGTGTCTGAGACGCAACGAATTCTGGCAAACTCTCCAAAATTCTCTAAGTCGAGGCTAATCAGCATCCAAAAAGGGGAAAATACAATGCTATTACAGCGTGCTTAGCATAGGCCTCATTTTTCTCTCAGAGATGGGCAATTTTAAAGGAACAGAGCAACACAGGCACACAACAGAGTGTCTGTGGATACTACCACCACATTCATGAAATAATAAGAAGCCTGCTTTATTTGAACAATTAACCCCAAACGGTTTTAAGAAGCCCCTTTAATCACAGTCACAAAAAAAAAGGGAAGCATTGCCTATTCTGAGCCCTAGCTGGACGTCGATGGCTGGCGTACAGGGCTCCCTCAAAGGGAAACTCAAACGCCATGCCAGGTGAACCATCATGCCCTACATCCGTGTGCACACTTCAGACATGAACACAGGGACAACTCTCCTTTTAATTGCCAGGAGTTACAGCCTGTTGCGTTTAAATTACTTTACCTTTTTGGAGGGGGAGAGGGGGATGGGGGAAGAGGCACATTAACTGCATCTATATTAGAAGTATTTGCCACCACACCTGAACAAGCAAGTGCGGCAGCAAATTTTTCATAAGCTATGCCTCTGATTAGGGACGTAAAATGATATCTCTGTTCTTGCTGTTTTGTTATTCCTCTGATAAAGCCCTACATTTGGGACAGTAAAAGATTTAGCATCAAGGGATCCCAGGAAAGGAAAAGACAGAATTTTGTTTGAGTATTCTGAGCACTGGCATTCTCAGTACCTCTAATCTGTTATTAAACAGTCTAAGGTCTCTACTAGGCTAAGACTAGCTGCTCTCAGGAAAGGTCAAACTTAAGTTTCATAAACATGACTCTCTAGATTTTTGCTATTCTTCATACAGTAGAGACACACACCTGTCACAGCTTCAGCTAAACTGAGTATTTCAAACACTATTTGAATGAAATAATGTACTACAGAAAAATTGAGTCTTATTTGATGCTTACAAATGCTAAGCAAGATACTCTGAAGATTTAAGGTACATAATTTTTCTAGTTTTCAGTCAGATCTTGACCCAAATCTGACCTCGAAAGAACGTCAATATCTCCCAGAAATCCAGAATTTTATTTCCACCAACATAAGCCTCATCCAACCACAAGACTAGGAGGGGGAAGAGGAGGAAAACTTGAGCCTCTGAAGAATCTCTAACCTCTTCACATTCAAGCTACTTGCAGATTCTTTTCTCAATAGACTTTCTTTCCATTTTGTAAAACCGCTCCATTTCAGATCAGAGGCACCTACTCTATTTTCTGCCACATCAGCCCTCAAGGAAACTAGTATAAACAGAAGCAAACAAATAAAATTACACTTCATCACAAGATGACTTAGTACCGTAGAACATCTTACACCAAAAAATGGAAGCCACAATAAAAGATTTTGTAAGTTTAAGAATATCCTTTCAAAGTGTATGTCAAAATTTACATGTGGCACGTGGTAGCTATGAGAATGATTGTTTTACAGGAATTCCAGGAAACCAAATTATTACACAGGAGACTTTGTGGTTTACTGCCGACTGGCCATTGACATAAAGATTTCAGGTTATGTCAGTATTTCCATTCTTGCAAATGCTTGCAAGAATGCAAACATTTACAGCTTGCAAAAAAGACTTATTCCATCTTCAGCTAATATTACTCAGCAAACCAACCTGAAAGGTCAGCTCACAGTCCAGCGTGCGCTACACACAGGTACCTCACAGGCACACCAGGCAGCCCTGTCGCACAGTCAGCACGGTCACCACCGCTATCAGCGAGCCACAGGCCTCGTCCTGGCGCTGCAACACAATGCCTAAGGATTCCTCACGTTTTGTCTCGAGCTGTCTTGGCCCAAACTTATTTTTTGGCCTGGTTTTAGCTGTCGCAGCACATGCCTAGCAACTGGATGACTCACCTGTACCAAAGCTGCTACAGTTAGGTGTCTAACGTCTCACTTGTTTTTAGCTTCACCTCAGCTTTGTGCAATCATACGGTCTTACCTTAAGGAAACTGCATCAGATATGGCAAAAGTCTAACAAAACCTAAGCGACTCATGTCAGCAAACTTTTGGACCAGGTAAGAAGCATTAGCAACTGACCGCGTGAAAGCACACGTTATAATCCCAAGCGGACGCACAGCCGAGGAAGATCTACCATCAACATCCTCCTCCAGGAAAGGGTTCGGGACTATTTACCGTACCGATGATTCCCTGTAACGCTGCACTGGAAGGGTGAGCATGAATGGGGCAGATACGAGGAAGTCTGTGTATATCAATTACTGGGAACTAGCCGAAATTGGACTATAAGTGTTAGCATCGCTGTAATTGGCTAATAAGAAGAACCGCTACATTTTGATTAG